AAGAGATATGAATTCTAAAAGTTGGAAAAACATTTTATCTGCTGTTCTTCATCTACCTTCCAAATTCCCTCTTTTAATCATTTCCCATGTCTCCAATTAATCCTCTAATTTTACTGCTTCCACACAATCGCTAACAGGTTGTCACCCATGCTCCACACTCTACAAACTACAGTTTTGATAACAACCCTTGTTATTTTTCTAATGTCTACAGGGTGTAACAGATGACTGCCCTATTTTTCTTTCCAATTTTAATAATGAAACTCCATACTATCATAATTCTATCCCTGTTTTGCAGGACTCTCTTCTTCCTTTCACTTTCTGCATGCGGATGCCCATCTAGTCTTCTTCTACTTTTTTATTGACTTTTTCCCATGAGGTAGGCATCATGCTAGTGAGCACACAATCCCACTACAGTGTAAAATACAACAGTTATAGTCGTATTGCAAGGTGTGCTTGAGTGCACAGGAGACGCCATGCTGTGGCCCCTACTCTTGTCTCTCTCTCTACACTCTCCATGAGAAATCTCATCCTCTTTGATTGTAATACAGATAGCTCAGGGATCAATAACTCCTGTCCTGACCCCTGTATGACTATCCACTGCTGTCACCTGTCGTTCCAGTGCTTCACCTGATACACCCTGCACTCCTAAAAGTCAACAAGAAGGAAAATAACAAGAGCTAACATTTGAGTGTTTACAATGAGCCAGCTGTTGTTCTGTGTGCTTTATTTTTTTGTCTCTTAGCTCAGTAGTCCTCATGAAAACCCTACGCATTAAGTACTAGTATTATTTACACTTTGCAGATGAGAAGCTGAAACAAGAATTTAGGTTGTTTGAGCTTGTACAAGTTATTAAGTGGCAAATCAAGTTTAGAAATCGAGGCAGTCTGGGTCCTGAGCTAGAACTCTTAACCACTACTATATAGGCCCCCAAACTCATCATACACCAGCTTTTAAATAGAATTTAGTTAACTGATTAAGTTACTTGACAGTTTTGGAGCCCATAGGAGGAAGAACCACCAAAATGTTTAAAGATATCTGATTCAGCCAGGCTTGCAATAGTTAGACAGTGAGGCAGCATGACAAATCATTAAAAGCTTGGTTTCCAGAATCAGAATTCCTGGATTCAAATGCCACCTCAAACTATTTAACAACTAAATAGCCCCAGGTAATTTATTTGACTTCTCTATTCCTCACTTTCCTCAGCTGCAAAGTGGGAATAATGGGATACCTGCCTCATAGAGTACAGTGATGATAAAATGAGATACTGAATGTAAAGTACTTAAAATGTTTCCTAACACATATAAAGGCATTCAATAAATGTTAGCTCTCCTTATTCTTCTTATTAAAATGTCCTGAACACAGAAGACAACAGAAAGGCACATGATGAAAAAAAATCTGGACTTTAGCATCCAGACTGTGAACTGTAAATACCATCTCCCATTAAAAGTAACCAAGACTCCTCAGAGAAATGGCTGATTCCAGGTATGGACAGGAAATGCACACGATGTTCCTGGCACATGGTGTTATTCCCGAAACTAAGGAAGCTATCACAAACCTCATGGTTCATGAAAAATGGAGACAGGAACCACCCGGAAGGAGTTCTAACTGGTCAAAGATGAAACAATATAAATTTAAGAAGAATAATGATGCTAGTGTATGGAAACACATCATATATATCACATAATAATGTAAGTTCATAATTCATAATGATACTTTCTAAAAACCACCGCCACTCTTAGCTACCTAATAAAATTTGCTAAGGTATCAACGTATAATTCTGAAAATTTACAAATAAAGGCAAATACTCAAGCGTTTGTCATGTATTTGCTGGTAATGAGGGAAAGGTCTCTCCATAGGAAAATCATAGCTAAAAACTGAGGAGTAAAAATTGGAGTCACCCTTTGGCAACTCCTAAAGAAACAAAAGATTTTAGGTAATAATCTTTAATGGATAAAACAACAGGTGAAAGGCTGATGGATAACTTCACAATAGCTGGACTAGGATGATAGCTCCTGAATTCACTGATCAATCCTAACACCACTGAGAATGAGCAACCTGACGTTATGTTCCTTTGAAAGCAACACCATAGAAATACACTCCACCACCCGTGTAGTCCTTTTGCCAAAAAATCAAACCTGTATCTAATTGAGTCTATATATCTAAGTATTATTTTACAAGAAATGTAGGCAATAAGGGAAATCATTTTAAAACACAATAAGGATACAACCAGCCAAAATTAAAATGAGAAATTCTACAGGTAAAGTGACCCAATTTATTCAATAAATAAATGGCATGAAAAGTGAGAGGGGACTGTCAGAAATTAAAAGAGACTTAGATATGTCAACAAAAAGTCAGTTGTGGACTTTAGATCCTGGTTTGAAAAAAATAACTGTAAAAAGGTTATTTTTGAGGCAACCAGAAAATATTTTAAGTAGTTATTCATTTTGATGGGTGAAGTAATGGTATATGGTTGCCTTTTTAAAATGCTATTTTTGCTTCTCTAAAATGAAGTATTCACAGATTAAATGATATGCTAAAATTTGCTTTAAAATACTGTAGCAAAAGAAAAAAGGGGGAGACTTCCACTTCCAGGAAGACAGAGTAGATGAGGTGGAACCAGGAGAAAAATGGATGTGGCTATGAAAAGGTAACACGATGGATACCTGTGGTGATAGGCTGTTCTGTATCTTGACTGAATCAATGCCAACATCCTGGTTGTGATGTTGTACATAATACTGCAGGATAATACCATGAGGGGAAAATTTGTAAAGTGTACATGGGATCCCTCTGTGTTATTTCTTACAACTGCATGTGAATCCCAGAATAAAAAAAAATTAATTAGGAAAACAAAAAATATGGTATGGCAGGGGCTGGCCCCATGGCCGAGTGGTTAAGTTCGCGCGCTCCGCTGCAGGCGGCCCAGAGTTTCGTTGGTTCGAATCCTGGGTGCGGACATGGCACTGCTCATCGGACCATGCTGAGGCGGCGTCCCACATGCCACAACTAGAAGAACGCACAACGAAGAATACACAACTATGTACCGGGGGGCTTTGGGGAGAAAAAGGGAAAAAATAAAATCTTAAAAAAAAAAAAATGTGGTATGGCAGAGGATAGATGAAACAACAGTGGCAGACAAGTTCATGATTATAGAAGAATTCACTACAATCTTTTCTCTCTCTTCACTTGCTTGAAATTTTCTGTAGGAAAAAGTCTTTTTTAAAGTTTAGAAAAGTAAACTTATAATTTCCCTGCAAAGTGGTATCATCTTCTGATTTCCCTAACTAGTCTATCTCTAGTCTGTCAAAATTCCACACCACTAGGTCATCCTACACACTCTTGCTAGTTGTTTTTGTCTAAAATACAATTTTCACTCTACCACGCCTTTGCTTAAAAGGATAAGTTCACACGTATCAAAAATTCCCCCCAGTCAGGCGTGAGCAACCCTAGGCTCATCTCTGGCACACCCCTACATAAACCTTCCACTGCAGTCAAGCTAGCCTCATAGTCCCATGAACATAATTTTGGACCGGTACCCTTCCTCATGCCATTTTCCTGCCTGCTATTTCCTCTCCTCTCCACTTATCTAAATCCCACCCACCTTTAAAGAGGCAGAATAAACCCCGCCTCCTTCATGAAGCTCTCTCTGATCTTTCCTTAAGATAACTACATGATTCTTCAGAGCAAGGATCATGTATTACATCACAATGCCTACTAGCCTTCCTGATACCATCATGGTTCTCGATGAAAACATGTTGATTTAACTGAATATTTAATATAAAGCTCATGGAGAGATTACTGAATTTTACAGAAAAAAACAAAGAAGTAAAAATGTTAAAGAGATTTTAAAATAACACTAAATGGGAAATCAGTACCCTTGAATTTCGGATGCAGTACTGTACTTAACTTGCTATGTCACCTTGGGCAACTCATTTAACATTTCTTGGCATTTGGTTCTAAAATGGAAAATGAAAGGACTAGATTCCCTCTTTTTTAATGTGTAGACACTGTACTTGTCTCTAGAAACGATTTCCCAAGGGGCTTCCATGGATTGTAACTTGAAAAGATTATTCCTAAATGTTACTCACCAACAAAGGCTAAACTTTATATTAAACACACAAAGTAAAACAGCATCCTTAATCCACCAGTTTTTAAGTAAAACTGAGTCAACGAGGATGAATTGCATGATTTTGCAGACCATATGAAGTCAGATTGCCTTATCTTTTAAAGATATTACATTCAATAAGACTTCCTAAGGTACTTGCACCCTAGGGGAGGCATAATCTTCTCCCTGTAGCACTAAGTCTGCCATCCCATAACTTGGAGCTGTTTAAGATGTATAGTATAAAGGTAGAAATGTTTCTATCAAAGATTATGACCTTGTTGAGAAACTACCAAGGTTTCCCAGAATATTGCAGTAGAGACTATCTAGGACAGAAAGTACAACAAGGATTGAATACAGAATGAGATTAGGTATTAAGAGGATAAATTCTACTTTGCCTTAAGAAAAGTGTGTTGCTCTCTAAGCAGGCCTTGTGTATTTAGGAAGGTCATGACCCACAGTCTGCCGTTCAGGTTGGAAGTGGTGGTAATCTCAACCAAACAATGAAGCCTGCACAGTTTGCCCTCACATTCATTCCCTGGGGATGCCCAGGCTGGAAGAGAAGAGAGTTGTATAAGAATCAGCTGTAAAGGAATTAGCTCTACCCACCACCAGTACTTTAAGGAACTCAGGAGAACACCCATCAAAGAGAGCATCATTAGCATATGAATGGAGAGGAAACTTTCCTGCTGTGGAACTTTGATTTCTTTAGGAAAGGGAGGCTGGTTCCATGAGAGAACCCAATGCTAATGGGATGAACTGGGAAAGCTAAGCACGGGACCATGGGGATGAGTGAGCAGAGATCATAGGAACCCAGTGACTAGTCAGGGGGAGAAAAGCAAGAAGCAGCAGTCACTTTTTCTCTGCACTGGCCCAGCAGCACCAGGGTCCCGGCAGTTACCTGAGGTTTCTTCACCTTAATGATCCAGGTGGGTGGGACAATAACAGCAGCATGAGCCCCCAGGGAGCAGGGTTCCTCAATGTGATGCAGCATGAAGCAGGTCACCTTATTGTGAAACTGAAGAAAAAAATAAGCCAATAAACAATTCTGTGCAAATGGCAAGCTGCAAAAAGAAAGAATAAGTTCGTGCACGCACGCTCATGCATGCATAGAGACACACACATACCACATGCACACACCGAGGACACATGTTCCTTATCACGGCCCAACCAGCTCCAGAAGCTCAAGATCAGATTTCCAATTCATTTCACTTTACAAACTGATAACAGTTGATATCAATCTTGTAGGACAAAGCCAGAGAAAACTTCATAACCTCTTAATAGGATATTTACACAAAGATGTTAGAGGTTTGGAGGGTTCTATTAATCCTAACTTTGCAGATAATTTTGTTTCACTTGACTTGTGCTGGTCACAGACTCAGCTGATTTGGGATAATGCTGAGAAGGAAATGAAGACAAGCAGAAAAGCAGCACCTACCATCTGCCTGTCCTTTCTCTATCCATAGATGTAAATCCTTCCCAGGTAGTCCTTCCAGTTTAAGAGACTCAGGAAAGAAGATGCCTCTTCCAGAGAGTTGTTAATCCAAGAGGTAACAAAGAACAAAGACATTGCTTCTGTTGGGTTTCTAGGGCCTCTAAGAAATACAGTGGCCCTATTACACTGGGCAAGTCTAAATGTTTTGTTTTGTTTAAAGGAAGGAAAGAAACGTAGAGTAATGATCATAACCATACGCCAGTGTGAGGGGCTTTACTCTAGACCACAATGCACTGAGTGACCTTAGGCCAAACACATCTTCAATCATCTTTTGTGTGGCTGTAAAGTGATAATGATGTTTGGTAACATTTGTTTTCTAATAAACATAAAATCCACATTACACAATAATTACGGGTCTTAGTTTTAATCATAGTGATTTTTTAAAACTTTAACATCAGTTTCTACTCGGATTATACTTAATGTGATCACATAATTTATCATCTTAACTGGAACAATTTTAAGAATAAAAGGGAGCACTGATAATAATTATGCTGGAACAACAGACATAAATTACGACTGTCTCAGGAAAATTGGCAAATGTGGCCACTCTGAGGATATCACATCAGGGTGATTTTCTCATCATTTCTGCATATCCTCAAGATCTGACATGATCTAGCAGCTAATTACTAAATCAATTAATCATGAAAAACAGGTTAATAAATTAATAATTCCCCATACCACCAGTTATTGGTGATCTGCAAACAATTTGATATACCAGAGAAATGCTACCTGAATACCTCTTCAAAAGTGATTTTCTTTTAGCAATTCAAATAGACCCCCAAAATGAATGGCCATTACATTTCCAAAACGGTAGCGATCTCAGAGATGACCTATTTCAACTCTCTCAATTTATACCTGAGTAATTTCCAATCTAGAGAGACTAAGAGGTATGTCCAAAACTGCACAACTTTTAAGTGGTAGAGTCAGGACCTGAACACAGGAAACCCAGCTTCCAAACCCAGTTTTTTTCTGCTGCAGAATGTGCCCATTGAGGGCACTTATTTGTCTGACATCAGATATCCTGGAAAGGATTACCTGTAGTGTTAAAATATACCACCACTGTAATATGTCTTGAAATGTTTTGTATTTTTAGTCCTTGCAAAATCACCTTCTACAGTGTGAGACCCTGGGAAACTCAAAGATATGGGGAATGGACCAAAGCTCTGCCACAATGGTCAAGTCAAAGTTGTCTTTGTAGTAAGTTAATTGGACTATTCACTAATGAAGACAGCACACATGTTCACTGTAAAGTGGGATGGAGTTCCCAAATTAATTGACCTTGGATAAACCATCTAACCACAGCCTGGGAGCTGGAGGGGAGGAAACAGATACAGCCTGAGCCCACTGCTGCCAATGATGCCATTCCACAAGTAAGGTCTCACCAGATCAGGGAAACCAGCAGCATAGATATCGTGGCACACCACCAGGGACATCTGGACCCTGAATCTGCTTCTTCCTCTCCAGGAGGAAATATTGCCTTGATGGCATAGTTTCATTCAAGGACCAGGATGACCTTATATTTGTCAACATGTTCTTGAACAGAAGCACAAAGACTATCTGCAACAATTAACTGAAAGGAGATGCCAAGAATAAAAAATGTGGCAGGATGGTAACACAGCAAGTGCTGAACTGTCCAGACCAATACATCCCTACCCAGTTCTCCTGACACGTGGGGTCCAGGGAAATTATTCTAGAGAGGTTATTAGGTTGACCCTTATGGAATTGCCAAAAGTCAAAAGTTTTTGATCCACAAAAGTATCAATTTTATGTGTTTCAACTAAATGCATCTGCTCCTGCCCCATGGCCTTGTTTGGTTAGTTAAATCTGATGTGTGTAGAGGGCTGAAGTCTTCATGCAAACCCTTAACCAGCTGAAACACGCCAGCCCTTTCTTTTCAGGTTGGCTGTGCAATGAGAGGACAATATATCCCAGTTATACAGTCACTCAAACGAGTAGCTGAGTTGAGAAATTAAAGCAGGGGTCTGCAAACTTTTTCTACATAAAGTCCAGATAGTAAATATTTTAGCCTTATGGAGCCATACTACCTCTGTTGCAACTACTTGACTCTGCCATGACAGCACAGTCAGTCAGATTGGGCCTATGGGCCATAGTTGCTAACCCAGTAGCTAGAGTACGTATTGTCTGGTTAAAAAAAGAAAAGTACATAGGCAAACAAGTAAGAACATGAGCCATCTGGTTGGGACAGAGGTGTTAACAATGGAAAGAGGATAGACAAAAGAGAAAAAATAGGGAAATTACCATTGGATCCTAATGAATATACAGTCATGCATCACTTAACGACAAGGATACATTCTGAGAAATGCATCTTTAGGCGATTTCCTCACTGTGGGAACATCACAGACTGCACTTACACAAACCTAGATGGTACAGCTTACTACACACCTAGGCTACATGGTACTAATCTTATGGGACCACCGTCGCACATGCAGTCCATCGTTGACTGAAACGTTATGTGCTGCACAACTGTTTACGTTCAAATGTAAGGAAGAGTTACATTTCAACGAGCAGATAGACAGCTATAACAATATCCAAACCTAAATGACAGGCACAAGATCACGCTTATCCTAACACAGCCCCATAGAAAGTCACCTACATCAAAAACAGAAGAACCAAGATGCCTGGACCCCTGTGTTAGAGGGATTATCTCACATGGCACGTTGCTTTATGTCGCCACTTCCTACCAAAGGAGGAATTGTCAACAATCTAGTGTAATGGAAAGAAAAAGTGGTCTAGGAGTGAGAAGTCCTCAATTCCAGACCCAGGGTCAAAACCAGGAGAGGATTTTCTAGGCTCTGATCCTAGGCTTCAATGTATGTAAATGAAGGGGTTAATTTATCTCTATAGTTTCTCCCAGCTCATATCTGCTATAGTTCTACAGTTTTAATCCGTCTTTTTTCCTCCAAGGATCCTATGTGAGAGAAATAATACATAAATTAGGATAACTTTCCACTTACAGACAAGAACTCAAGTGATGACATAAGCCTGTGTTGATAAAACGTGAGTCTACTTTGTTGTATTTCTTCCCAAAACTTACCGCCTGCTTGCACCAGGAACAGCTGATAGCCACAATCTCTTTACTGTGGAAGGAGAACTTTTGCTGGAAGCCCTGGGATGTTAGGACAAGAGACAGAGAATTTAAAACCACTTCAATCACAACAGGCATTTGACCTCTTAAAGTCCAATGAAGTGAATATAGCTAGAACTATCCCCACCATTCAAGGTAACTGGGACTGCAAATGTCACATTCTCCACCCTCTACCACACCAAGAGTTCCCTATTCCTGAACCACCTGGAGCATGAGAGAGGAGGCACAGTCTTTGCTATACCACTAACTACTCAAAGTCAGTCACAGAAAGAGTTGTGGGCTTTTTTTTTCCCCAAATAAATGCGGTTCTGATATGTTTTTATTATAAGCAAAAGAAAAGCCACTATTGGTTCACATGGTTCTTTACAACAATGATCATCCATTTCAGAGATTCTACATAACTTGAACATCTGAGAACCCACAAAGAGAGAAATGAAGTATCAGAGAGTTAGGACCTAGAAGTCAGGGTCTGGGAGAAGTCCAAGGGCATAGGAGGAAATCCAAACACTTTCATCATCCCCTTGGGATCTCAGGACTCCAAACAGCAGCTTTCAATTTTTATTCTTCACCAGCAAGTAGCAATGAGATTAATGGAATGACAAACACAATCCTCTTAAGTGAACAAGCAGAATTACTTTTCCATCAAGAAAAGAAGAGGTGCTTCTTGGGCTGCTGTGGTCCCTAAATAATTACCAGAGAAAATTATGCAGTAATGCTCAAAAATTTTTTTAGCCTCCCCAAAGCTGACCCATTTATATCTGCCTGTGGAATCTAAACCCAAACAAACTAATGCAGAGCAATGACAAAAACATTTTAAATCAGGGCTTTTGTAAAATGATCAGAAGAAACACAGAAAGATGTGATGAGCAGGAAAGCTATTAAGGCACTGGCTGGATAAGTCTTGCTTGATATGTACAGACAATTCTAAGTTTAAAAAATCAACACATTCTTAAAAGAAGTCCCAATGGCATTTTTGCAGTTCTCATAATTCCTACCTATCTGCAGCACTGTACACACTACAAAGCATTTCCTCCTTTTTGAACTCTCACCTCTCTTGGTTTCCTAAAACACATCCAGGTTCTCCTTCTACCTCCCAATCTCCTGCCTGTGGACATCAGACCAGGACCAGTTTCAGTCCTCTGTGCTCTGTGATTCCTCCTTGAATCCTTCTCTTTTGCCCCAACTTCAAATCTTACTTCCAGAAACATAACCTCTTCTTAACATCAGATTCTACTGGATTTTGAAAAATTTCTCCATCAATAACCCTTTCTCAACAATTTAAGTGATCATATAATCACTCTCAGCAGAGAGCAGTGAACATAACAATCCTGAGATGGCTATCCTGACAAAGGCAGGCTTGCAAGGTGGGCCCTTGGCTGGCATCTGAGAACTTGGGTTTTAGAAGGGTTTCCCAATGCCCAGAACAGTTAAGGGTGGCTCACTGTGCCTAGCCTGTTTATACAAACAACGTGGTTGATGCCGAACACCTGTTTTCCTTCTGGGATTCTGGAAGGTAGATACGTGCTATGCAGAGGGTGCTTATGTAATGAGCCCCCAATAAAAACCCTGGGCACTGAGTCTCAATGAGACTAATAGACAATATTTAATATGTGTTGTCACAATTCATGTTGGAGGAATTAAACCCATCCCATGAAACTCTGTTAGGAGAGGCCTTTTAGAAGCTCCTCCTGGCTTCCTCCAGACTCTGCCCCATGTGCCTTTCCCATTACTGATTTTGTTTTATGTCCTTTTGTCGTAATAAATTATAGCTGTGAGTAACATATGCTATGAGTCTTCCTAGTGAATCATCCAAACTGGGGTGGTCTTCAGGACCCCTAACACTCTCATGTCCCTCCAAACAATGAGTCTTGCTATGCCTCCTTTTGTCAACGATAGTATCATTTCCCCTACAAAAGGATGCACTGTTTGCAAAACACACATGGACTGAATTATTAGAACAGGTTTGGTGTCTGCATGTTTACTGGAGTGGTGGCCAGCAACAACCCACAGAGCATGCAACACCTGAGAGTTAGAACTGCCTGACAGAAACAGCTTACAGAGAGGACACAAAGTCCAGTGGCCAAAGAGTTAGGTATGCAGGTCCTTTCAAAGATGAGGCATAAACTATTCAATGTGAAATAAGATGGCATCAAATATGCAGGAAAGACTTCACATGAGAGTCACTTGAAAAGTTCCTCAACATCTCTCAAGCAACTTTTGATAAACTGGGTAAAAATAAAAACCGAATAGAATTTCTCTTTAGAGCTATAGCAACAATTGGACTATGCGAGGAAAGAAGCTAGCAGCCAATAAGAAGTATATTGAAGCTGGTGCAGTGCCTGAGCAGGGACTCCTGAGGACAATCTTGGCTGCACAGCTGGATGCTCCCACCTGGACCCCATGTCCAGCAGGCATCAAGCTCTTCATATTTGGATATCTGCTCCATTTCTAACTTGTCTCTCCATGGACAGTTTGTTTCTCCCTGTATTCTTCATTCTATCCTGGGTACTGCCACCAGGGAAAATGCTGTTCCACATATCAGCCTCCATCTCAAAATACTCAAATAACTACTCCTTTCCTCAAGTTTACAGAACAAACTATTCATACTGGCATTCAGGGCCATCCATAATTTTCCCAGCCAATTTTTCTACATCAATCTCCCACTCCTCACTATTATAAATTCCTGTCTATAGTGAGATGGGTTTAATTATATTCCACAACTTTATTCTTTTATATTTCCATTTTTTTGCCCACTTTGCCAACTTTTTTTTTGCTGTTTTGTTATTCCCAACCCACCAAGTAGAATGCCTACCACTATTTCACGTACAGCATCTGAATTTTACTTTCACTACAAAACGTAAAAAAGTCTTCCAAGATCACCTCATTTCACCGTGATCTCTCCTCCTAAACAATAGGCCTTACTACCTTACTCTCCTTGGTATTAATGAACAGCTGCCCTAAGATCCTGGTTATTTTATGTGCACATGTATTATCTTTCTAACAGAATTATAAGCTCTTTGAGAGAAGTCCTTGTAATATTTCTTAATAGGTCTCCACAACTTAGCATAGTTCTTTGAACATCATAGGCATGACATGAATATTTTCTGATTAATTGAATAAGAAAGTCATCCGATTACAGATTGATCCAATTACAAACTTAATGCTATCTCAAATTCCTAACCGAAACCACCCTTTCCCTGCACCCTCCTCCAACCCCCATGGACACAGAAAACATGATAGGATTCTAATCTTCATTTTTAAGTCTGTGATATTGACATGCTGCATGGCTGAAAATCAATGTGATAGAATTGGTGGCATGACAGCAGCAGTAGCAACAACTAGAAATCTGCTGAATGTTGCTGTATCAAACGTCCTAGTAAACAGTCTTAAATGCTATTACCCAGCTACTATTCCATCAATTCATACATCATGATTGTATATCAAAATGAAGCTGATGGAGAGATGGCACAGCTGAGAACAGTTCTCGGATCAATCGTTTAACCTTTCCGATTTCTCCCTTCACTTGAAAATGGGAATCAAAATACAAACCTCACCTACACCACTGAGTAGTTATAAGCATCAAACGAGGCAAGGTATTTGAAAAGTTCTTTATAATACTGTATAAATGAAGGAGTAATTTTATTGCTAAGATCTATCAACTGGAACCTCATCCACCATCTTGCTGACAAAGTCTTACAGTGTCTAACGTGACAAGCAATACTCTATTCGATGGTACTGAGTGAGTGTATTAGCCCACCCTTCTGCTCAATACTGGCCTTCTGGCTTCAGGGAGAAACAGACACTGTAGTCCTGACAGCCAGGCTGATACCATAAACAGACAACAAGTCCAGCCACAACTGGGGCGCTGGGCACTGTGCTGATGCAGAATTGTGGTGGGTCCCTTGGAAATGAGCCCAGTGGTAATCAGCTCTGCGCTTTGTTTTGGATTCTAGTCTGGCAGAGTCACAGCAGCCATGGCTTCAGGGTTATCGTCTGACATTGAGACAGAAATAGAACCACATCAGAGCCTTCATGGACCAAGTTCCCACAGACCACCTGCAATGGGGAGATTTTGACTGGGATCTCAGCACAGCAAAAAGAGCCAGATTCCTAATTACCCAATTTTAAATGCTGGCCCAAATCTGATATTATGGCACTGACAGATGCCCTGACTGAATTTCAACCGACTCTGTGATTAAGGGCTATTTTGTTCATCATTATCAAAGAAGAAAATAGGAATGTGAGGTCAGATGCTCTGCATCTAACTGACTTGAGAATTATAAATACCAAGAACCTTGAGGAATAAGGTCACTTTTTTTTTGGTTGAGTTTTTTAATCAAGTTCCGTCCTTGGAATAAAGTTTAAACACTTATTACGAGCAGTTAAAGCTTTGTTGTCTCTTTTTCTTCCGCAATCTAGGGCATACACCGAAGGAACTCAGTTTTATGGCCTTGGCAGCAACCAGAAAAAAGGGCTTTACTTGAAACAAACTGAAATTATTTCATTGTTTACGTATTTAACTGAAGTTTGAGTGAGGGAATCTCCTGACCTGATTCCCTTTTTGATTTGACCTAACATAAGAGTCGATACCGCTCTTGCCTCCAAAACTTTAAACAACAACAAAATACACCTCTCCACATCCAATCGCACGTTCAAGGCTCACGAAGTATTACAAAAAGGCAAACCCAAAGGAATTAAAAATAAGACTAAATCAATATTATCTTAAAACAAAGAGCTTCGAACATTTTTGCTCAAATACTCCCTATCCTATTTGAAAACTATGTACACTCTTTTACATATTTTATATTTAATATCTAAAATGTTCATCATAGGTTTAATTAGATGCAAAGTTCATTATTTCTAGCAAAATGAAAGCGAACTTTTAAAATAAAACTGTTATACCACTCTTGTAAATGTATCCAATGGGAAATAAATACCACAGCGATTTGAAATTCACTAAAGTAAAAGGAAATTTCCCCAGTGAGAGCAGAACTTTGCTAGACGATCTCAAACTGGTTGTG